GTAGTGGTGGCAGTCTGCTACTACATCCACAGTTACTGCAGCGTAGAATCAGGTCTATGAAATAATGTAAAATGTTGGATAGTATTTTAATTCTTTATTGTTTCTAACATTATAAGCTTAAGTCTTCCTCAAGTAGTCGGCTTGTTTCTGCTGGTGACTTGGGGCGAATCTGAATACCTGAAAAAGAATGAAAAAGATATAAGTAAATTCAAATTATCTCAGAGTTCAACACAAACGTGTTCTGGTCCATCTGTATCACTGTGACGCCAACTCATCGAATGAACTTTCTATGTTACAGGTGGCCAGCTTCAAGTCCAGGCACATCCCTTTGGACAAGAACCAGCATCACTTCTTTTTTTACTTCGACTGTACCATACAAATGAAATAAATAGCAGCATTACTGTCAGTGATTCCTAATGATTTGCCTCCAGTTCCGCATTAAAATTAAAACCCGACTAGATATTTTAGGCTCAAGTAATAAGCCATATATATGGAATAAGAATAAGCAGTAAAGAAATGACAAGTAACCCCCAAATAGAAACAATACCAAAATCAACTTTTACCAGACATGACAACCATAAATGTACTGGTATTTTATGTTAACATCACATTGAAGGTCAAAACTTACCAGATTCATTCCTGCGATCATGAGAAAAAGGAGCGATTCCTCCTGCTGTGTGCTGCGACGCCAACTCAGCATACAGCAGGTGACACATAGACTGCTTTACTGATGTCCAAGTCAGGTGCACCTCCAGGCCGATCTTCCTGCAACAAACAAAAGACGCAATTTTATAGTTGAAGAAACAGGATGCAAAAGAGGCAGGAAGCACGCAATTTCGACAGAGGAGGTCAAGGACGAATTTCCTAGTCCAATTCCAATCATTTCCAGCAACTTTTATTTTTTAAAATTTTTGGCCAAATTTACAAAGGCCTTCCCATTTTTAACAAAAATGGGTTGGTCGGGTTTTCGATAGAGAAGTAGTCGAACCGTCAGGGGTGAACCAGGGAACCACAAAACTACTTTTGGTTCCGCCAGAAACCACCCCTGTCCAGAGACACTTGAGTTTTAAGGGATTGCGGACAGCGTACAACGGGCTGCCTACCTAGCAGCCGAGCCGGTACAAGAAAAACGGGCGTAACTCGCTTAAAATGGGTCTGCGAAGTGAAATTTCGACGGAGAGATTGAAAGAGGATGCTGTCGGACCAATCCCAACCATTTCCATCGATTTTAATTTTTTTCATTTTTGGCCAAATTTACAAAGGCTATAGCCTTTGTGATTTTAGCGAAAATTGATGGGTCCAGATTTCGACGAAAAAGTAGTCGAATCGACAGGGATGACCCAGGGGACCACAAAACTACTTTTGGTTCCGCCAGAAACCACCCCTGTCCTCAGAAACTTGAGTTTTAAGGGGTGGTCTTTCGAACTGTGGGCAGGTTGTCTACGTAAGGCGCACAAGCTAATGTAACAGGAAAAGAACTCTGCTGTAGTGGGTCGGCTCCATAATATTTACACATAGCAAGTGGAAGGAGAGTCTGCCCCACCAATTCAAACCAATTCCAGACTGGATTTTGACGGAGGAGGATTGAAATTGTCAGGGAAGAACCAAGGCGCTACAAAAACCATTAAAAACTGAACTTTGATGGACACCAAAGGGAGCTTCTCATAGCGTCTGAACAGAGACAAATTGGACCAGCTTTTGTTACTTTCATGTCAACTCACCTGTACTTTCAGGTAAAAATGACTCCATGGACTTCTATGCTCATGTCAAGAACATTTCTGGGCCGAGTTCCTGCAATCATATTAAACGGTACTTTGAGCACTCATCAACTATTAATTACATATAATTTACTCAT